GAGCATGTAGGAGAGTTGAGCTTTAACTGCGCTGATCGTACAGTACTGTAATTTAATAAAGCATCGTGTTCTCTGTCCTCTAGGTGAAAGGTGGACAATTCTGTATCCATCAATTGTATGTTCACACAGGTTACCTACTTGGGAAAGTTTCATGTTTCCTGCTTTCTCTGCTTCCTCCCTCCAAGATCATCACATTTTCTTCATATTATATCACCATGACTTGACTCACTACACATTTTTTGTCCCACCCAGTAGACATTTCATTCACCCAGTCAATCAAAATCTACTAAGAGACCCAAGAGTCTGGCTCTGGGCTATGCAATATTGTTACTGATAAATGTTAAATAGACAATTATTCTTCAAACTGACTAGTGTTGTATTTTCCTCATTCATCTTTGCTATTTCTAAAAACTATTTGTATATTTAGAGGGTCAATCTCCTTTTAAATGTATTTGCAAATAGTTTTCCCAGTTTGGGGGTTCCTTGTCTTTGCATAGGGAAAGGAGTTTTCCCCTACCATTTCTTCATTTAGAATTTCTTGTCTGCTTTTACTTTCCCAAGCTGACGGGTATTAAAGGAGTAGATTAAGTAAGAAGAAATGCTAGTCTTGTGTGGACAGGAATCTAAGAGAGGTCTCTGTGATTAACCGTGTAAGCTCAAGCAGTGTCAACAAATCTCATCAGAAAAGTAGGGATGACCAAGAAGTCAGTGGTGCCCTCTGTAAAACCTGCTATATCATTGGTGATTTTTGTGCATTATTGGAATAAATGACTGAAGGGTCCCTAACATGGAAAATTTTCTTTCTAGTACATCCCAGTAACTGCTAAGGAAATTTGTTATCTATGAGAGATGGAAGTTGTAACTGATTACAGTGATGACTCTACTTCTTCACTCTTTTGGTTTATCACTTTCACCAGAGGCCTCCCACTTAAGGTTGGGTGACCTTCCTCATGTCTTTACAGTGAGCTCAACCAAGTGATTTGCTTTAACAAGAGATTAATTCACACTACAGTGTAATGCTTGAGAGAAAAAGATACTTGTCCTCTGCTTATTCTGCAGAACACTTGAACTTCTGCCATTGCCCAGAAATATACTAGGGCCAACTGGTGAGGGCTGAGATAGTGGAGTTGAATTTCTCAGTGACTTCTGCCAAGACAATTCTAGATCAGCAAATAATGAACACCACCAAGATCAGAAAAGCTGTTAACTCATCTCTAACTGGCCTTCACACTCATGAGAAAAAACCAAGTATTGCTATTTCCAGCTACTGAATATGTAATAGTTTATTATGCATAAATTGCTAACTCATTCAGAAGTTGTACTAATGTATACTCTGATGAAATCATGTTTTTGGTAGAATTTTCTCTTCATTTTTCAATTTGAATGATTGTTGTATCTTATCTTTGTAGCCTACTGTATACCATAGTTAAAAAGAATGGTATAGGCAAAGACAGATATAGGTTCTTCCATTCCCTAATGTCAAAATCTCTGCCAGTGGTCCTCTTGGCAATGTGTTAAATATTAGAAATTTTAAAAATTATCATTTAAAGCCAATCATGGTTCAGCGGGAAAGAAATACATGAGATAATTTTACTATCCAATGTAAGTATGTTTTAACGATCACAATTTCTGGACCCAGATAATCTGAGTTGAAATCTTGTGTTTTTCACTTCTTAGGTGAGTGTTCTTCCTCAACTCCCACATTCCCCAAAGAGAATTGCAATGGTATCTACTCCTCCATAAGACCGTTGGGAAGACAGCCTGAACTGAAATTACAACATACTTAGAATCATGCTTGGCATTTGTAAGCTCCCATTAGATGTTAGTTATTAGTACAGTTTTTTTGAAGCATGACAGCACAGAAAAGAAATGCAGACTGGGAGGACGGCTGAGCAGAGGGGCAGCACCATGAAGTATGTTGGTTAAAATTAAAACAGACGTTTACAAATTTACTTGGAACTTGCAATCCACATCTATATTATCAAAGAATAAGGCACTGATAGCTTTTAGGATATCTTCTGGTATTGAAATACAACATCTGTGGAATATTGTTTAGCACCACACATATTGTAAACTCCCAATGCATTTGGTATTTTAATACCAAAGTCATTTCCAAACAAGTTTTAATTGAATGAACTTAATTTGTGTCATTGTGTGTGACACTAAAGGCAAGCTTGACATGATTATTCCACAGGATATTCTGGTCCCTGCGTAATATTAGGAATAAAAAGAACATTTATTCCCAGGATTTATAACAAGGAACAAAGATTCAAACATTAACAATGTATTATGCTTTGGTACAGTAACCTAAAGCCGATTAAATCCCATTAATAAGCACAATGCTTGCATCTATATTTTCCTGATGTTTAAGCAAGGTTAGTGAATTCATTCTATTTACTATTGTGTATTTCTGATTACAAGATGCTGTCCCCTGCTGTTTGCTAAAGATTACACCATCTAGTCATACAGTGAAATAGTATAATTTTAATTCACTGCTTAAATGTCTAAAATTCAGAGGAGAACCAACGTAGAGCTCTGTATGACCCTGGCTGTGCTAGCACTGTGTGATCACCTCTCCAGAGTCATCTCAACCCAGCAACCTTTTGTCCCATCACATAATTTTGGCCTCTAGGCAGACTGAGAGTGCAAAGATGTGACCAGTTACCTATCAAATAATTATTTCTTCTAAAAGAAATTGTAATAAGACTTTTACATGAAAAATGCCCTATTGTTTTTGAAGGTACCTAGCAACCTCTACTACATAATTATCTACATTTACATTCTTATTAACAATTAAATTTGCATGCATCAGCTTGTTTAATGCTTATATCGATTCTCTTTTAGTAATATCCATTAGGGACAAATGTGGTAATGCCATTGTCCAACAGGGTTACACGTTCACCTCTGGGAATCAGTGCTAACGATTACACCCCACATGCTCAGGATGGTTTTAGAGGTGTCGCCCATGTTACCATATCCTTGAAATCAAAGGAAAACTGTAAATAATGGAAGTAAGCTATTCTAGGTTCAAGATACGGCAATGATATACCATGTGGCTTTACACTTCCCTTCCCCCACATTCAAATTATATTAGGAGCATAAATAAGTATTTCATAGAGTGAGGAATATGAGAAGTCTAGCTAAAGAACATACATACAGATTCTCAGTAGTTACTGGTTAAATCTGAATCCAAAAATGAACATCAAATGACCAATTTAATATCTTAGAGTATGAACATGTAGCAGATGTGGGAAGAGATATTGTAGCTGCTAAGTGTGAAGGTAAATAGAATTAGTAAATCTTTCACTTTCTTTTTGGCTAACTAGCACAGATCTTTTACTGCTCTTTTGTTTGATAGATTCATTCATCCTGAAAGGTGTTAAAGATGTCTAGTAGGTTGCTAATAATCAGTTTGGGAAAAATAAATCGGCCCTCCTAATGTCAAATTTCCTGAAAAGAAAATTTTCATTTTAGGTGGCTAATTTCAGATGTGTTTAAGAACACACCTAGATAGACTCATTGTCACACATACACTCATTTAAGGTGTGTTTAAGAACCAGTGGACAGACCCCTGGAAGCCATTTAAAACAGTTAATGAATGTATTTTAAATTAAATGGCTTACTAGTTGGTAAACTATAACTGAAAAGACAAATTTAAGTTATAATCTACTGCCTCATGGTGTTTTGAATCAGACAATACAGCATTCATTTAAAAGATGGGGAAATTATAATTTAAGTGCAAGAAAGATCTTTCTCCTCAAATGGATTGACATCTAAAATCTACATTAAAGCACATCCCCTGCCCCTGCCCAAAGAGATTTTAAAATGTTAATTTTACAAGGCTAAGTAAGGGAGTATGTATTGTACTATAATGGTAACAGAAAAGAAAGGAAAAAAAGTTTGTTGTGAATTTGGATATGCCGCTGATGTCCGTTAGTACTAACTCTCGTTCTGGTTTATTCAAATTTGTTTAAAATTATCTTAAACCAAGTACATAATTCTGATCTCTCAAAAGTTAAACAAACCCAGCACAGAGATCTTTACTTAGGAAAGGTGCAATAGAAAAATGTTTCTTTACCCACTTCCTCCCTTAGATATCATTTTATTCTTGGTTCAGTCATCGTTGCTAACTTAATCCATTTCCAGTACCTGGATGACACAACATGAATAACCATAACCCACAGAAAAGGCCTTGTGACCATGATACAGTGCAGAAACAAAGGAATAGAAATACAGTATTAACATCACTGTCTGTGGCCCTGGCCCCCGCGTTTTAGGAGACCTAGTGAAGTTGAAATGTACCTAGCGCTGCTCCCCTAACACGAGTCGATGGAAAAGCTTACATCGAGGAGCGAGGGATGCTGGAATTGAGTTGTCAAGCTGTCCTGGATGTCTTGTACAAACCGAACAGGCCAATTTACTGCAACGCTGCCTGGGCTGAAGGCGCCTATCTCGCCTTTACAGTTGCTTCCTTCTAGCGAGATTATCCTGCTCGACCACAGGCTCCCGCCCCGGTGGTTTAGGCGCTACTCCGGAGTCTTTCTGAGGCGCCGGCTCTAAGGAACAGTGCGGTGTTAATCCTCACCTTGGGACCAGCCTGCTGCGCTTGGGAAAGTCTCTTCGCCGGCAATCTGAAAGCAACAGCTTTTTGTGCTTGGGGATAATTTTGAAGCCTAGTGGTGATTTGATTTCACTGTTTTCCCTCTTGGTAGCTCAAAACTCCTAGCTTTCCGGATGAAAAACTGGCAGGCTTTTTGGGGAAAAAAAAAAAAATTGACAACTTCTCCCACACAGCCAGAATTTCTTTACCTAACGCTAACCTCCCAGGGTGGGGGCTGCTCCACCACGCCGCCCTTCCCGCTCCGGCCTCCAGGTGGCAGCCGCGCCACACCTGAGCCGTTCCAGTCCCCGCTTCCCAGACTTGAAGCGTTAATGCAATTGACCAATCGCTGCTAAGATGATGGGAGGTAATTGGGTAATTGTATTTTACTGATCACTAGCAGAGAGAGGGAAAGGGGAAAGGGAGAGGGGCAGAGGCGATCGGGGGGCTGCAGCCCTCGAGGAGCGTGGGGAGCGCGCGCCCCAAGGACGGGACACCTCGGCGGAGAGGCAGCCTGGCCTGGCCGGAGCGGCGGGAGCGCATGTATTTGCCCGGGGGCGCAGCGGCGCAAAGCGGGGGGACGCGAGTTCGAAGCCG